TTTCCGACAAAATAAGTCATTATGATTCATTTGTTTCTATGCACATGATAATTACTTGATCATAATTAAATTTACATTATTTTTTTTTTGTTCCGTCTTTTACATATGTGTATACATGATATCTCTAACAATTGTTTTTTGTTTGTTAATGATTTATAGATATGGACGCTGCTAAGTCATGTATTATAAGCGACTAATATCGGATATGGAAAAGGTCTATGGATTTGTAGAAAATGTGACTACATCTTGAAACCTCAGAAATCAAAGGTTATATTCATATTTTCTATAACTAATATGTAATTAATAATATATTGTTCATTGATCAATTTTCGTGTAGCATATATCCAAGCAATTTGCAGATGTTGTTGGATACATTGGCCAAAAATATAAATGTTTCTTTGGGATTTATTCGAGAAAGAATCACAGAAGTACAAGGATGGAAAACAAAAAGTGTTGGAAACCATTTTGTGAAGAAAACTAATAATTTTTTGTTTATCCCAACAAAAACGTCACTGAAGTGTATGGTGCAAGTCGAGAAGAAGATTTAAGGTTTTTTTTGTTTGATTGATTTTTTATTTTGATTTTTTTTTTAATGTTGGGAGCTTAACAATGTTAAGACATTTTAATTTATTTTGTGTTTTAGTCTTGCTTGGTAATTATAATTTAATTGATAATTTGTGTATATTGGTTTATGAAATATGCCCTGCTCAAATACATATGTACGGATATTATATTAAAATATAATAATATACTTATGCATATTATTAAAATATAGTAATATATTTCTACATTACAAAATTTTGCCAAATCTTATTTTAGATGTATTTAATAAATTAAAAAAATCATATTTATTACTTGAAATGTTGCTATAAGCATTTAGGAAATATATTATTCGTGTAAAATGAGATTCTTTTAAAATCAACACATACCATTTTTTGGGGATTTATTTATGATATATATACACACACACAATAAATTAAAATGAAAACTTTATAAATATTTATTGCCAAAAATTTTAATATAAAAATTTATAAAATATATTAGTCAACATTCATAGAAACGAGATTCATTTAAAATCAATACATACAAATTCTCTTCCGGTAGATAAATATTATATTGCTCGATGCCATATTGCCATCTTTCTGTTTTTTATTTATAATAATTTGACTTTTTGTTTTTATCTATATGATAAATAAAACTAAGATACACAATCAAAGTTAGAAAAAAAAAAGCGTAGATATGTAGTAAATTAATATTATATATAAAACCAATAATTTAAAAAAAAAAGTAGATAGGTAAATGTAGTATTAATAATTTTCCCATATGTTTATATTTAAATTAATATAGATAAATTTGGAAATTATATCAATTTAAATTTATGCACTATTACTAATCTTTACGAATTATATCATCCGATTGTGTACTATTCCATTAACCAATCATTTAAATTCCATTAATATAATTTTATAATTTTACATTAATAATGTATTTTATTAATGCATTAGAATTCGATTTTAAATAAACATATTAATAATATATTATGAAATTTATAATTTTATTATTAAAATACAAAAAAAAAAGGAAAAAGGACAAAAAACCAAAAAACCGTGTGTATGTTTTATGTAATTTAAAATTTTCTAAAATTAGAATACGCATTTTATGATATGGAATTTGATTCCTTACCTATTTAAGGTGATTAGATTTAATTGATATAGTTGGTTTAATGAAAATATTCAATAACCATAAATATTGTTTAATATTTTAAAATCAATTCATAATCAATATAAATCAAATCATTCGAATTTAATTGATTTGATTTCTTACCTTTTTTTTTTTTCCACCTATAATCATGTCATTTGAAATTTGAATTCTAATTTTTTCCTAATTACTATATAATTATCAAAACTATATAAACCCTCATCTATTTATTTCACCCTACACTATTCTTCTTCACCCATTTCATTCCAGTTGTTTTTGTTTTTCGTTTTTTTTTTTGTAATTTTTTTTGAATTGATATCATGCACTTATCGTATTATAATTTAATTTAGATGGTTTAAATTCGTTTTATATTTTTAGTTAACTGAAGATCTATGCTAATATTTTTTCTTTATGTATTTTTTGCAGATGTTGTTTCCGAATCCAACTTATGTCACATGTGCTACATTGTTACCGTTTGCATATAATTTTTGTAATTTCATTTATTTATTTTTTATTCAGTAACATTTCTCATGAATATATTTTTATGTAAAAGTTTGTATTTAGTTTTTAATTTAATTGAATTATATATTTATCATTATCCAAAAATCGATTATTGTTTTGTCAAATAGAAATGAGAGAAATTGACACTGAATCATGTATTGTATGCAATGTTCTAAAAATCGTCCGAGGCGGCCGATTAACCGGTCTCCGAGGCAGAGGCGGTCCAAAACCTTTACGATTTTAGTTTAAAGGTTTGAAAAATCGGGTTTTTGCCTGTGAGGCGGTTTTAGGCGATCTGAGGCAATCTGAGGCGGTCAAACCTTTAAGGCGGGTCAAACTTCGGTGTCAAAAATCGGTGTTTTTTTATTTTTTATAATTCAAAATAAAAGTTGGAATTTTAATAAAGAAATATGAGTTTATGCTTTATTTTGATTATGTTAACTATTTTTGTTAAAGAACTAATGATGTATGCGAGAAATGTATGTAATTTTAAAAAAATGCCTTTTTATTTATAGTTTATAAGGGTATTTATGTATTATAATCTTATTATTATTAAATTTTTATTACGTTATTAGGATATATATATATGATGGAGATATAATTATGTTTAAATATTTTTTATCTATATTTTGAGTATTTATAAATAACATCTACAAATATATTATATTAAATTTTAAAAACCGATTTATTTTTCGATTTATCACCGCCACACCGATTAATCGTGAGTCGGTCCCTGACCGCCTTTGACCCGATTACCGTTTTTACAACCTTGATTGTATGTGGAAACGTGGAAATCAAAGATTTCTTATTTTTCTTTTGTTTGGAAATGATGATTGGACAATATTGTTGTATGTACAAGTTTCACCACAATTGACATGTATCATCTTTTGAATGTTTTTTTTTTTTTTTTTTTTTTTTTTTGTAAATAATAAAGACAAACAATTTGGGTACTTTTGCTTCATTAGTGCAAATTTGGAGTTTAATTTATTTTATTTTCTTATAGTTTGCATATTTTACATTCATTATAATTTTCTATTTTATGTTTCAATCTTAATTTTTCTGAATAAATTACTACCTTAACGCTATAATAATACAATCTTAAATAAATAAGTGTAATATTTTAATAAAGTATCACTATTATTGCAAATCGAATTAAATACTTCTTGGTCATGAGGTATTTCATGAAAGATTTGAACAAATAAATATTTTTAGTAAAATATACATAGTTTTCTACAATCCGTAATTTTTTATTCCATTTTTTTAATCCTTACAAAATTTTGTCAAATTTTCATAATATTTCAAATGTATATAATTTAAAAGCATTCCAAGTTTTCAAATATATTAATTTGTTAAACACTACAAATTTAAATTTGTTTTTTTTTTTAGTTAATTTGTTATGGATTAAATACGAACTATAAGACTATTGTTTGTTTTCAAATATTACTTAATTCAAATTTTATATAATCATTTAATTGTATTTGTAACCTCTGAAAAAAAAAGCAGTTGTAATATGTACATTAATTATTTAACTATTTACCGATAAGGTCATACAATCATGGTTAACTATGAATATTGCGCCCCTATTTTGTTTATTGTTCAAAATTTCCAACTTAAATTTAAAATTGCCTCAACTTTCATGTAAATATAGATAAAAACTTAATAGTAATTTTCCCTAAAAACATTGATCCTTGAAGCAAAACAATTTATTGATTAAAGTCACCATATTTGTATAATTATAATTATTTTTTGTCATTTGTGAGGCATTTTTGTGTGTAAGGCATTATAATGCAGCAACATGGAGAAAGGATTAACTAATAACTAGTTTCAAAGGACCCATCACTATTCGAGGCCTAATCGAAAGTGAAAGATTATGATAATAGAGGGCAGGCCTATGAGCACGACACTTACGCTGACATATTACTATTTACTACTCCTCAAAACCATACACATTCTATCATTATCATTTTTTTTGTGTGAGATTATTCAATAATACCAGCTTAGTACTTCGTTAAATTAATATCCGATAAATTAATAAGATTATTTAAATAATATTTTTTTTCCTGATGTAGAAAATTTTAAGAAGCCCCATATAATATATTGATCTAAACAATGTTATTATATGAAGCTCCATATAATATATAAACTAAACAATGCATAAAAATGCATTATATAATTTTTTGTTGCAATATAATGTAATTCTTAAATTATATCGTACAATACATATTTTATTGATCTATGAAGTCTTAATAAAATATGATTTAATTGTCGATTGTTTCTTGTTGAACTTAACATGACCATCAATTTCGTCCCTCGCTTTTCTTAATATGGTTACAACTTTTGGTATAATTTTCTTATAACTGAACAAATAACTGTTCAGTACCATTGTTGTTTTATGAGCTTTCGTTCGAGAAATGAGCTCTACGGTACATTGAACTAACTAATACTACAATGAATGATTTATACGTAAAAAATTTAAAAAAAAATTTAAAAAAAAATCGTATATATTTATTGAAAATAATTTTATAAAATAGTAAGGTATTAATTAATGTTTAAATTAATAGTTATTAAGTTATCGATAAATTAATATTTCGCTAAATTAATAAGATTTTGATGACCAAACTGTATTAATTCTTAGAAATATAACTCACATAGTAATAAGTTTTTAACAACTTTGTTACTTGCATATTTTCCTATTTCTATAGCAAAACCAGCAAAAGCAATGATATGAACTGAATTCACCCACTTACACACACAGTTTTGGAGGTGTGATTTTTAAAATACACAAACTCTACGTAGACCATACATACATATATAGTATATTATAATATAATAAAAAAATAATAATAATATGGTAAGACATAACAGATTCAAAAAAGGTCAAACAAACATTTCTGATTTATTTTATCTCTCTTTGTTGCTTCGTCTTCTCTTTCCTTCATCTCTCTCTCTTCTCTTCTCTCTCTCTCTCTCTCTCTCTCTCTCTCCCCACACTTTCCTCTTCATTTTCTTCTTTGATTATAACCATCTTCTGCCACACCGAACTTAAAGATCAAAGTTACAATTCAACATTCATTCTCTCTCTCTCTCTCTCTCTCTCTCTCTCTCTCTCTGCCCTTTTGTTTCTTCCACTTTTTTTTGTTTTCTTATTTCTTCCCAAAAGTAGAGCACCACTTGTCCACTTTCAGACACACACTACTTACACACACACACATATATATATAAATCCCAAGAAAGATTTCTTCTTCTTCTTTGTTTTCACTACATAATAATAAATAATAATGGAGAAGGCGGAGAGCATGTTTGGGAATTATTCAGGTGAAGAAGATCAACAACAACAACAACAACAACAACAACACGAGTACATCAGTTTCTTCAATAGTAACAATAACCCAACCAATTGGGATAACTTAACGGATCAAAACGATCCGTTCGAGTCCGCATTGAGCTCAATGGTTTCTTCTCCGACGGCGTCAATTCCACCTAACGGCGAAAACATTGTTCTCAGAGAACTCATCGGCAGATTGGGCAGCATTTGCAATAATAATTACAACAACAGTACAAACACCTCTTGCTACAGTACGCCTCTCAATTCTCCTCCTAAACTCAACCTCTTCGCCCAACACCACCACAACAACAACAGCTTCCCTACAAACATGGCTCCGTTTTCCACGGATCCAGCTTTTGCTGAAAGGGCTGCCAGATATTCTTCTAGGGTTTCTGGATCTAATCCAATTGATTTTAAACCTGAATTGGCTGATTCCAGGGAGAATTCTTCTGTTTCCGATCAGCAGATCCCAATTAATATTATCGCCGGCGGCGGCGGCGGTGGTGGTGGTGGTGCCGCCGTTTCTAGAAAGAGAAAATCGATTCCAAAGGGGAAGGGCAAAGAAACACCCCCTGCACCCAAACCTGCTGCTGCTGCTGCTGCTAAAGATAATGCCAATAATGTAATATTAATTTTTTTTTTTTGGTCTTGGATTTTGAAGTGTGATGGAATCTGATGTTTTTTTTTGCAGGTTGGTTCGGAGAATAGCGAATCGAGTGTGAAAAGAAGCAAATCCGAAGAAGAAGATGATGATAATGAAAAGGATGGATCAAAAGGAAAGGATAATATTAATACAAAAGAGGCTCCAAAAGACTACATTCATGTGAGGGCTAGACGTGGTCAAGCTACCGATGCCCACAGCCTCGCCGAAAGAGTATTTTTCTTTATCTTTTCTCATCACCCTTTCGTTTTTCGCTTTTTTGATTTTTTGTACTTTCTAATTACTAAGCAATCTTTATTAATCGTTGTATAATATAGGTTCGAAGAGAGAAGATCAGTGAAAGGATGAAATTCCTGCAAGATCTTGTACCAGGTTGCAATAAGGTATTTTAATTCTTCTATTTTCAATATTTATATATACACTTTATGATTGTATTCATTTGTGAAATAATATTCTAAACTGCAGGTTACTGGTAAAGCTGTTATGCTTGATGAGATCATTAATTATGTGCAGTCTTTGCAACGACAAGTTGAGGTGATTCCGACTTACTTTCTTTTTTCGTTTCCACGAAAAATAATGCGATTTTATTCCTAATTGATTGTTTTCTTATATATGTGATGTGATTGTAGTTCCTTTCCATGAAATTGGCTACTGTCAATCCAAGAATGGATATCAACGTCGAAGCACTTATGTCGTCCAAGGATGTAAGTTACAATTTTTAAATCCCGAACCCCATTTCAAAATTGATGTAATAAATTGTTATTGATTGATTTTTGTGGATTCGTGCAGATGTTTCAGTCTCGTAACGTATTTCCGTCAGACGGATATCCCTTCCAATCTCAGCCAAATTCGCATATTATGGATATTCCGAGTGCAGCCGATAATGTACCTTTTCAGTCTAGTAACAACTTCAATGCCGCCTTTGCCAGAAACCAAACCATGCAGCAACTGCCTCCTATGGACAATTTTACCGAAACCGCCTCTCAAGTAAACACTTAAATCTTGCGAAACTTTTATTTCATTTAAAGAAACGAATTACGCGTTGAGCAAACAAATTTAACAAATGTTGTATAATGTTAGGTTTCGACGTTTTGGGAGGATGATCTCCATAGCGTTGTCCAGATGGAGTTCACCCAAAACCAGTCGCAATTTTCATGGTTAGTAATAATTATTATTACTATTTTTATTTGATAGAGTTGATTTTGAGATTGTTGATGTATTTTATTATTATACTTTTGGTTCGTATTGCAGAGATTTATCCGCCAAAGCTCAACGAAATGGAAGTTTGAGCTACGATTGTTGTTCATTGTCATTGTTAATTCTATTTATTAATCGAGGCCCCGAGTGAGAGTGGCCTTCTTCTGTATATAGTGGCAAAACAAATTTAGTTCAAGTAAAGATTTATTCGGTGACCATTTATCCCCAAAAAAAAAAGCTAAGGAGCTTCTCCGATCCAACCTCTGGTTCTTGTTCATCATCATCGATTTCGCAGATGAAATCAAGAACTCGTTGCCCCTATAATGGTGGAAAAGACTCTGAAAAGTCAATTGTAACAATTATTTATTTATTTTTCTTATTTTTCCTTTCTAAGCAAGGTAAAGAAAGAAGTTATGTTTAAGGGTTGATGTTAGTTTTTTTCTATGTATTATTTACCTGAGGAATATTCAGATTATTTATCACTAATAATTCATTGCAAATCTCTTATATCTTTCATTTAGTTATGAATTTATTTATTTATTTATTTATTATGGTAACAATGGAACCCGCAGTCAACCATACAAGTGTACTGAGTAAATCTGTACTCTTGTATAATAACTTGCAAACAATTTAGTTACGACATTTTTGAATACTATATAGTGGGGTTGCAATGTTATATGATGAGTGGACACAAAGAAAATGTGATAGATTAAAGGAGGAATTTGATAGTGGGGCCCACAGCTCATATTGTAATAAAAACATTTTCACAATAAATGAGAGACAAGATTAGATTGTTATTAAATAATTGTAACCAGCTGTTAGTGGGGACAAAATGTAAGTGTTAAAAATGAGATATAAACTATGGGATTGAGCTGGAATCCTATTGTCACACTTTGACATTTCGCAATATTTACTGTTTATCATTTAACAAGCAAAAACAATGACTTTTTTTTTTTTTTTTTTAATAATTGCATTTGAAAAATGAAGTTAATATATAATGGGAATGAAAGGTGTTTAGTTAAAGAAATGTAAAGCCAGGTTGGCAATAATTGTGAAGTTGTGAGTTGGCTAAGGAATCAATCACAAAGGAAAGTAGTGACAAGGAATCCTGAGAGAGGATAAGTTGAAAATAACATAAAAATTAGTGGAGTGCATACAAGAGACAGCCTTTTTCCATCAAACCCTGTCAGGAATTTTTTTTTTATTACACAAAGAAATTTCCTATTCTAATTGTCGTATAATCTTATTTTATTTTTCATGTTTACATGCTGGTTGCTACCTTTCATGAATGTATATAAATTAAAGAGAGGATTGGAAGAAAATGCATGATAAAAGGCATTTTATTAAAAGAGAAATATCTTCTTTTTTTTTTTCTTTTTTCTTTTTATCTTGGTGATATATTCACCTTATTCAAATTATTTACTAATAAGAAAAAAATTATATATACCAAAATTACTTCTAATTAACTTTTTCAACCTTCAACTTCAATTTTATGATTTAAACTATAATTTTATTTAGCCTAAATTTCACCAATTAATCAATTTTGATATCTATTTTGACCGCCGATCACCAGCGTTGATTTTTATTGTAAACATTTGTTTTTTCTTTAACTATTTTAAGTAATATTACTATGTTAATATTAATAATATTGTATCAAACAGTAATAGTATTGTGTTAATATTAATATTACCATCTAAGCCTGTTATTTTACTATCTCAAACAATAACTTTAATGTTTGAGACAGTAATATTACTATATAAGCCTGCAATGTTATTATCTCAAACAGTAATTTTACTATATGCATCATTAGTGTCTCAAATAGCTAGTAATTTTATTATCTGCTTCGGTAATATTATTGTCTCAATCTACAATATTACTGTCTCGGACAATAATTGTACTACATTAGACAGTAGACAGTAAAATTATTTTGTTGGTTGTTAAAAAAAAAATGGAGAAAAAAAAAAGTTAATGTCGGAGACCGACTGTCAACCCCGACGACTGGCCGTAAAAAAAAATTCAAAAAAAAAAAGAAGAAAAAAAAGTCAACGCCGTCAAAGCCGTCTATCGATTGGAAAAACAAAATCAAAAAAATCAACCAAAAAAGTAAAAAATACATTTAGATTTTTGCACCCAGTAGAAACCAAATAATACTTGTCTCTAAATTTTTTTGGCAACAGTACGTACCACTTAAAATTTATTTGTAGTTATCAACCTTCAAATATCATTCAACTTCCACTCTCCATTTTTAAAGACCCCGTTCTAGATGGCCTAATTAAAAGAAAAAAAAAACAATATCTAATAAAAATAAGAACTGAAAGTTTAATATAATATTTTAAAGTGAATTAGAGAATTAAATAGGGAATTAACTGGTATAACTTTTATTTTGATACTCCAAAATTTATATTTTTATCTCCAATGGGGAATTAAATTAATAGTTATTTTGATATTCTAACTTTCGGAGATGCAAAAATGCATCCTGGAAAAAGAGGTATCAAAATATTAACTACCCCAACAAACCTATTATAAATTGACATGTGTCAAGTTTAAATATATTCATCCGTATATTTAAATTTGATGATTCATTTAATGTTTGCGGTTGTATAAAATGAGTATCAAAATAATAAAACGAGCATTAAATTAATATTTGATGATCCATTTTAATACTGTCATTGGAGTTGCTCTATGGACAAATGACAAATAGGCCTATGACAAGGGATTTAAATGCACATGGGTTCAGACAAAAACAGTCTTGCAAATAAACACATCCCCACGTCTTTTGTCTAAAGTACTTCTCATAATATATTTTTCACCAATTTCATTCATTATGCTCTAACTTCATCAATATTGCACATTGTCCTCGGATTTGAACAAATATATCACATTAACACCCATTTTCATATTTTTTTTTAAAATAATTTTTTTAAGCATCCCCACGGCGTTGAATTTTTTTTTTTTGAAAACTTTTTTTTTCTGAATTTTTTTTCCGACCAGTTAACCATCGTTGACTTTTTTTTCTTCTCTCTAAATCATTGTGTTAACAAAAAAAATATTGTCTAAGATAGTAATATTGAATACCCAAACAATAATATCACTAATATTACTGGCTCAAAATATTTTCTTCCATTTGAGAAAAGCCCTCACCCATTTTCAACCACCATTTTTTCAAATTTTGCCCCCGCCCGCCACATGATCATTGTGTCACGCGCCCACATCATCATCATCGTGTCACGCACTGGTCATCAGCCTGTTATTTTTTCTTCTCTTTTTTTAGATTTTTTTCCGAATCAGTTTTATTAATCGACTATGAAGCATAGTCGATTAAGGAAACATAGTCGATTAAGGAAATTCTTTAATTTTCTTATTATTATTTTATTTTATTTTTTTAATTTTTTTTTCGTTTTTTAATATTTTTTTTTCTCTATCAGGTATATTAATCGCCTATGAAGCATAGTCGATTAAAAATTTGACTACTAAAAATAACAAATCACAATTACAAAAAAATGCAAAATCAACTATAGTTTACAAAAACAAAAAATATACAAACAATATAATTGATTTATAGAATTAGAATCAATAAACAAAAAATCCAAAAAAAAAATTAAAATTGGAGTCGATTAACCGTAATCGACTATTGAACATAGTCGATTAAATCACACGTAGTCTACTAAGGACCCAGCCTGCACGAATTTCTCTTTTTGCGCCGTCTTCCGCTCAATCCACCAAAAAACCCTTGATCTGCTTTTCATTGTCACCACCTCGCCGCCACACCACACCATCACCACACTGCTTCCATATTCTAACGGTTTTTATACAAATAAAGTAAATCACAACCCGAACCACCAATCAAAACAGAACCACCACCTTCAAAACCACCAAAACAAAGCCACCCATACAAAAAAATATACAACAAAATTAGATAAAAAAATTCATAACGAATAAGTAGAATGAAGCAAAACTACATTGAGTGCGTATTTTGCAGCCCCCGTCGCCCTGGGCTGTCTCCTCTCGAAGCCCTAGTCGTCAACATCCGCCCGCGCCGCCTCGGCGCCGCCTTCTACCATCACTCCATCACCGGACCACCACCAAACACTCAGATCAGATCTTGTAGCGAGAGAAAGAGAAGAGAGTGGGAAGAGAAGGAAAGAGAAAAAAAACGGCATAAAAAATAATTAGGGTTTTGAAAGAGTATATTGGACAATTAAGGGTGGATTTAGAATTATGAAAATAGCATTTGGGTGGAATATTAGCTAAGGGGATTTTCCTCTAATTATTTTTTGGAAGGGATGGGTCCTTAACTACATTTCCTAGATGAGGAGGAGGGTTATGGCTAATTTTTCCATTACTAATATTATTGTCCCAAACAGTAATATTATTGCATGAGACAGTAATATTACGGTCGGAGATAATAATATTATGGTCGAAGACAGCAAAATTGCAGGCCAAGACGATAATATCAAATTACTGTCTCCAATAGTTAAATTACTGTCGGAGACAGTAATCTATCAGGCCAAGACAGTAATATTAATTAAAATATTTTCTTTTTTAAGAAAAAATAAATTTTCAAAAATAGAAAAAAAGAAAGAAAAAAAAAGTCAACGACGGTTGACCTATAGGAAAAAAAATTTAGAAAAAAAGTCAATGCCGGAGACAAGCGGTCAATGGGGGTTGATCGGCGGTCTTCGGCGGTGGCGGTCAAAATTGGAATAAGGGTCAAAATTGGTTAATTAGACAAAATTGGGATGTAAATCATGAAATTGGAATTGAATTAGGATTACAATCAATTTGAGATAATTTTAGTATATATAAAAGAATGTTCATTATTTATAATATAAATGAACTGGATTTATTTGACTGACAAAAAGTTGAATGACCACTTTTTAATTAAATACCCTTCTCATGTATCTATTTGTCATTTGAAATTCATATTTAAATTTATATAGGAGGGATGTGCTAAAAGTCATTAGAATAACTACATCCCTTTTTTCGGTTTTACACAAAAAATCATTAGTTGATAAATTTATTGACACAAGTAATTTTTTTGACACAATTACTACGAACCCTTTAGGCTTTAACACATCCAATTGAAAATCTGAAACTCCAATTTATCAACTGACATGTTGTGTTATGCTTTATTCAGGGCCGTTCCTGAGAATTCGGGGGCCCTAGGCGAGATTTAAAGAACAAATTAAAACGGGGCCTCTATTTGATAAATCAATTTTATTAAAGGGTATTCGGAATTAAATATACTAAAAACATACAAATAATGTTTTCTAAAAATGATGAAATAAAAAATTACGGGGCTCGGGGGCAATGCCCCCGAAACATTTTTTGAAATGAAGGAATATAAAATAACTTTAAATATGAAAAAAATTCAAAATTAACAGGATGATTTGTTGGTTCACTTCCTCCCGTGACGTATAATCTTTATAGCAAACAGACGTCATAAATATTTATAACACTTAAATACACTAATGAATATTGATTCTAATTTTAGGAATAAAAATAAT